TTATATACCATTTTGTAGCTCTTGAAATTCTCTATCGAATGGTATATAATAGTTGGGGTTTTAATTGACTATGATAGGAAAAGTCTTTTACGAAAGCGGCGATGGGTCGATTTTTCCATAGGAAGCTATAGGGAAAAATGGGTATTTTTGCAATAACTCAGGAACGGCTCGGCCAATCCTTTTCATCTTCGAACTCGACCGAGATATTGTAAAGACTAAACTGTGTAGAAAATTTCATCGTGATCGGACTCTTCTTTCGAAAGTTATCGTGTAAACGGCCGGCCGGACATACTGATCGATTCTAGAGTGTACTCACTTTTTGAGTACACAAAAAAGCAAGGTATTCTCTTCTGTCCTTTCTCTCGTTTCCTTCTCTTCGTTTGCGTATAACACGAAAAGATGATTTTAAAGTTGTTAACACGAAAAGAACTCGAGGATGCTTATAAAGAAAACGAGATGATTCTGTTAAATATGTGGATGCTGGGGATGGTAGGTGAGGGTGTGGGCGTGGGCGCGAGTGGAGTATGGCTACGGGCGTCGGTGTGGTGTATGGTCAGCCTTCTGTATAACTATGAGTGCACCCAGTCGACTTACAGCACCCACAATCACATCCATCCACATCCTCTTTTTCTGAGTTTCTGTTGTCTTTTTTAGTGAACCTTTGAATTCTGACGATCAGATATCTTTGTCTTTCTTTTTCGTCTATTTACTCTTTAATTAACTGTGAAAATAAATAAATTTGTATCACAGAAAAAGAAAAAATATTTTTCGGGGAATATCCTAAAAAATTCGGGGCCCCCGAACCCGAACCGACCCCGAAAACCTTTTTCAGTCCCGGTTCCCGCTGATCTCTAATTGAGGGTCTATATGATGTTGATGATTGTCAGATAAAATAAAATAAAATAATCTAATTATTATTCAATGAATTTGATTTGTTCTAGAAATAAAATAAAATAAAATAAAAGAATATTAATTAGATTTCAATATGGTCAACAAGATATATATTTTATTGTTAATTTCTATAAAAAATAAAAATATATTGTTTTTTTTTTTTTCTATATAATAAGTAAAATGTTAATTGAAGTTGAACATTGGTCTGGTGCTGGAAATCGTTTTGTTATTGTTGATTATCGAAAAAAAGAAGAAAATATTCAATGGAATTGTCTAGTCAAAAGTTTATGTAAACGAAATATTTTAGCTGATGCTGAAGGTCTTCTTGTTTTAATTGAAATAAATAATAAAAATTCAACTTGTGTTTATGATTTTTATAATCCTGATGGTTCAACAGGAGTTATGTGTGGAAATGGAGCTAGATGTGCTATTAAACATGTGAGTTTAATAGAAAATTTAAATAATAATTCTATTAAATTAGTATTAAATGGTTGTTCATATGAAGGAAAACTTGTTAATAATGATAATGTTGCTTTACGATTACCTTTATATAAAGAATTACGTTTTATTGATAATTGGACATATGTTAATGTTGGTAATCATCATGTTGTTATTGATGCTCGTGATTTAGTTAAATCAATTGAAGAATTTCATTTATTTAATTTAGTTAAATTTTCAAATGAATATATTAATATTTATAGAAATAAACTTTCAATTTATTCAATAAATATAAATTTAGCTTATTTAATAAATGATCAATCGATTATTTATTTAAGAACATATGAAAATGGAGTTTTTAATGAAACACAATCATGTGGAACAGGAGCTATAAGTACTGCTATTACTTTTTGGATGAAAAATATAATTAGAAATAAAATTATTTATTTAATGCCAATAAGTAAAAGATTATTAACTGTACATATTGATATTGATGATAAACAAGAATCAATTTTAGGAATGATTTTAGAAGGTGATGCTAAAAAAGATGCACCTTCAAATAAATTTGATACAACATCTATTAAATATCTATAAATAAACATGTTTTTGTTTAATAATCACCTTTTTTTTTTTTGTTATTGTCTTTCACAAATTTTGATTTTTCCTTCAATTCTAATATAGAATTTTATTCAGATTTATTTTTAAATAAAGTTAAATTGAATATTTATTCTTGTTTTTTGTTTTTAATCGATTATTTACAATATGATCAACATAATAATATTATTATTTAAATCGGTTATATATATATATTATAGAATTTAATATTATTAAAAAAAAATTCAAATTTCAACATGTTTTTTATATTTTTCAATTTAATTATTTTAAGAGTTAAAATAAATATGAAAATTGAATAAATAATTAAATTGTCAATAGAATGACAAATATCAATAAACATTTTTCCAATTCATTATAAATTCATTGATTTTAATCTATTTTATATTATAGATTATAGATTATAGATAAAATAAATAAGTATATATTAAGAAAATATTTCAAATAGAAATTTAATAGGATGATATATTATATAATTATATTCTATTAAGAAAAATAAAACAAGATAAATTTCTTTTATCTCGACAACGATCTATTAATATTTTTTAATTATAACAATAAGAACTTTTATAATCTGACAACTATATAATCTCCCTATACTGATATATATATATCAATAAGAAAAATATTTTCACTATTTCGAACAATCTTTTAAATGATATTATTTTTTTTTTTTTTTAAATATTTTAATTATAATTCGATAATCGAATATAATTAACTCATTATTAATTAAAACATTTTTGTTGACTTGAAATTGCATTGAAAAAAGGTCAATGTTTTTTATTTTTGTTAATAACAAATCTTTATTATTTGATTTGTGAATTGTTATTATAATTATTACTATATATTGTAGTTCTTTACCTGTTACTTCTTAAACATTCAAGATTCTGATAAGAGGGAACAGATGATTCTTTATTGAAGTGAAGGGCTTTCAGTTTTCGTAATCGAAATTAATTGAGACTTCGATACTTTACGTCAGTTGTATATAAATCTGCTAAAAGGAAGGTAAAATTTATATTTCCATTACATCTAGTGCAAAATTCTTTAGTCTTTAAAATTAAAATATGACAAATTCTCACATCAAAAGTGGTTTTTCTTTTAAACAGATCGAGCGGCTAAGCAAGTCACTTCTTGAAAAGAGATGCAGAAAAATAATGTCAGAGGAAAGCACAAGTACGTTTTCTTGTTGCACAGTTTGGTCCTCTGTTTTGATTCAAGTTAAAGTGAAGCTGAAGAAATGTTCATTGCTCACAGTAGAAAGCATTAATTCATATGGAATAAGAGAAAGAATAGAAAACGAGAAAAACGTGTAATACATTTATATACGTACGATCCACACATTTAATTACGTCATCATCAGGTTATTAGAAATAAATTTAGTTATTATCGAAAAATATACATTTCTGAACTCTCTATCTCAGTGTCATAAGTCTATGATCCTCAAGAAATTAATGTTGATAATTGTACAAAGCTATTTGTTAAAAAGGTATAACAGATGAATGGATCTGATATGTTTTCAGAAACTGAATTCATTGACAGATCTGAAAGACATCTATGTATTCTACTTAACATCAATAACTGTTTAGTAATAATGGTAAAGGTGGCTTACAGAGAAGATGTTGGATTCGATGAAATCCCTACGGAACCATCTCATAGAATCCCTACACTAAAGCTCCATTAGCTGATTCGTTTCCTGAAATGATTAATATTGGAAAGTAGCTAAGTTGAAGTACGAGACTATTATCATGCAATACAATTAGAAAATGAGATTTGTTCTAGTGAATGAACCTTCATTATCCGAAAATGTTATCATAATCAAGTTATGTTAAATTATCACAAGTACTTACCAAATTTAAAATATCAGTCATTGCATTAATTGTTTCATAATCGACGTTGTTTCTATTTCCTAGCAATCTATATTTTGATAATTTATTAAGACTCAATATGTATGGTGATGTTCGTGTATATATCATTATCTTTGTTGTTATAAGTACATTCACATTCAATACTCCTTCATCCGTTGTTCTATTCATATTTTGGTCGTCATCTGCTTGAGTTTGTGATCTTGTAATAAGTTGCCGAATAAAATTTTCCAAGCTGAAATGTTCCTGTTGATAAAAGTAGTTTTCACATAGTGATCGCGCAGTTTCATCTTCAAATGTCGGTAATTTGAATATCATAGACTCAGATGAAACGATCTGCATCAGTTTTGAGAGTATTGAACGTAGTAAACGTTGATTTATATTGCTTGTATTTTCAATGAATGATTTTGTTCTAATGGTCAACTGTGTATACTGACGATCTATGTTAGATATTCTG